AACTTCTGGCTATAAAAACTTGTGGGTTTTGGATTGTTCGAAGAAACTGTGGGATTCTCAGGCCTCTCCCGTTAAAGGGCCTTGCACCACACACAGACTTACTTAGACTTACTCACTCTGTGCTATAGTACTGGGGCAGCAGCTTGAAGGGCACCAGTGGGCATGCAGGGAAGAACTGAAGTGGCTGGCATCAGGGTGAAAGCTGGGGGACAGCTTCCTTCCACATAGAACTGCAGACAGTGTCCATTATACATTTTCTGAGCCCTCTCCCACACAGACCCACAGTATGGTGGTACCATATCTGAATCTCCATCAACCTGGCTCACATAGTAAGCCCTACCTTGATGATTACTGGAGCATCTGCCCAAGCTGGTAACGGTGGCTTTTCCATATGAAGATCTGGGATAGGCACAGGCTGCAGACCTTCCTAAATCTGCTCATACAGTTCCCATATTTACTGAGTGGCCTCAGGCCCAGCATTAGCAGCAGTCATCTGCAGATTGCTTTATAGACTATGCCAAGGGGCCCCAGACAGAACACAGGTGGATGCTGATCTTTGCCTGCATCACCTAGGAAACCCCAGAGTTTCCTTACTCAGCGGACAGCTACAGACCATGATGGAGCACCACCCAACCATCTCCACAAGCCAGGAAGGAAGGTGGTTGCTGGCTAGAAGGTTATAGTCAGTACTGCTAGCTGTCTGGTCTGGCTAAATCCCTCCCATTGACCTGCTGACAGCCATCAAGACTCATCTACAAGAGGAGGGAGTACTCAGCCCACATGGAAGGTGCACCTTGAGAACTGAGCTTGGGAGATAAGGGAGGCTGTGCCTTTGGACCCTACAGGACAACTACAATGCTGGGCCATGCTACCAAGACGTGGAGTCAAAACAGCTCTTCCTAATACATAGAAACAAGAAAGGAGAGGCTGCCAAAACAAGGAGACAAAGAAACATGGACCAAATGAAAGGACAGATCAAAACCACAGAAAAAGAACAAAACAAAAGGAAGATAAGCAGTCTGTCAGATGCATAGTTCAAAACACTGGTTATAAGGATGCTCAAGAAACTTAGGGAGAAACTTAGCCACGTAAATGATCCAGTCAGAAATGAAGGATACACTAATTGAAATGAAGACTAATTTACAGAGAAGCAACAGTAGAGTGAATGAAACGGAGAATCAAATCAATGATTTGGAACATAAGGAAGGAAAAAACAAGCCAATCAGAACAGTGAACAGAAAAAAGAATCCCCTTGAAATGAGGATAATAAAAGTAGCCTCTGGGACAACTTCAAGCACTCCAACATTCACATCATAGGGGTATCAGAAGGAGACCCCTTCTGAAAGAGCAAGAAATTGAAAATCTATTTGAAAAATAATGAAAGAAAACTTACCTAATTTGGTGAAGGAAATAGACATGCAAGTCCAGGAAGAACAGAGTCCCAAACAAGGTGGATGTAAAGAGTGTCACACCAAGACACATCATAATTAAAATGCCAAATGTTAAAGAGAGAAACTTTTTAGAAATATATATATTTTATTGGTTACGCTATTAGAGTTGTCTTTTTTTTTTCTTCTCCCCTTTATTCCTCTCACCCACCAGCATTCCCCTCCCCCTTAGTTCAGGTCCTTGGGTTGTACACATAAGTTCTTTGGCTTCTCCATTTCCTATACTATTCTTAACCTCCACCTGTCTATTTTGTACCTACCATTCATGCTTCTTATTCCCTGTACCTTTTCCCACATTCTGCCCCCTCCTCCTCCCCACTGATACTCCTCCATGTGATCTCGATTTCTGTGATTCTGTTCCTGTTCTCATTGTTTGCTTAGTTTTTTTTTTGTTTGTTTGTTTTTAGGTTCAGTTGTTGATAGTTGTGAGTTTGTTGTCATTTTATTGTTCATAATTTTGATCATTTTTTTTCTCAGATAAGTCACTTTAACATTTCATATAATAAGGGCTTGGTGATATGAACTACTTTAACTTGACCTTGTCTGGGAAGCACTTTATCTGCCCTCCCATTCTAAATGATAGCTTTGCTAGATAGAGCAACCTTGGATGTAGGTCCTTGCCTTTCATGACTTGGAATACTTCTTTCCACCCCCTTCTTGCCTGCAAGGTATCTTTTGAGAAATGAAGTGATAGTCTTAAGGGAACTCCTTTGTAGGTAACTTTCTCTTTTTTCTACTTTTAAGATTCTCTCCTCTTTAATCGTGGATAATATAATTATGATGTGCCTTGGTGTGTGCTTTCTCGGGTCCAACTTCTTTGGGACTCTCTGAGCTTCCTGGACTTCCTGGAAGTCTATTTCCTTTGCCACATTGTGGAACTTCTCCTTAATTATTTCTTCAAATAAGTTTTCAGTTTCTTATTCTTTCTCTTCTCTTTCTGGCACCCCTATGATTCAGATGTTGGAATGTTTAAAGTTATCCTGGAGGTTCTTTAGCCTCTTTTTATTTTTTTGAATTCTTGCTTCTTTTTTTTTAATATATTTTATTGATTATGCTATTACAGTTGTCCCATTTCCCCCCTTCTCTCCCCTCCACCCTGTACCCCCTCTCCCACCTACGTTCCCCCCCCTTTAGTTCATGTCCATGTGTCATACATATAAGTTCTTTAGCTTCTACATTTCCCGTACTATTCTTGCCCTCCCCCTATCTATTTTCAACCTACATTCTATGCTACTTATTCTCTATACCTTTTCCCCCTCTTTCCTCCTCCCATCCCCCTGCTGCTAGCCCTCCATGTGCCCTCCATTTCTGTGGTTCTGTTCCTGTTCTAAATTCTTGCTTCTTAATTCTGTTGTGGTTGAATGTTTATTTCTTCCTGATGTTCCAGATCGTTGACTTGGGTCCTGGTTTCTTTCCCTTCACTGTTGGTTTCCTATATATTTTTCTTTATTTCACTTCACATAGCCTTCACTTTTTCCTCTACTTTGCGATCATACTCAACTATTTCTGTGAGCATCCTGATTACCAGTGTTTTGAACTCTGTACCTTATAGGTTGTCTGTCTCTTCATTGCTTAGTTCTATTTTTGGAGCTTTGATTTGTTCTTTTATTTGGGCCATATTTTTTTGTCTCAGTGTAGCTGTTAATGTTGCAAGGGGTGGAGCCTTAGGTATTTGCCAGGGTGGGGCAACCCACGTCTCTGTATTATGGTGCTGTATGTGGGTGAGGGGTCCAAGAGGGAACAGTGCTTCTTGCTCAGCTCTTGGCCAGCTTTCAGTCACTTCCCCTCCTACCCACAAGCAAACTGGGTCTTTCTGGTGCTGTTTCCTGGGCAGGTGGGCTAGTGTATGTTCAAGGACCAAGTGGGTCTCTCCAACGAATCTGTGAGGCTGGGATTTCCTCCTGCTGCTCTAACTTCCAGAGGTTTTAACAGCCAAAAGTTTTTAGCTTTTATTTCTCCGCACTGGAACCCAGGGTTGCGTGGTCTGTCTTGCTCCCCAGTTGTTCCTCCTGGTTTATTCTTGTGGAAATGTGGGGTCGCCCAGTCCGCCAGCTGTCCCCTTACTATGTGTCTTACCCACCCTGGCTGCCTGTCTCCATCCCTCCTACCAGTCTCAATGAATGTTTCTTCATTAACTCTTTGGTTGTCAGACTTCAATACAGTTTGATTTCTGGCAGTTCTGGTTATTTTGTGTATTTAAATTTGTTGTCATTCTTTTGGTTGTGTGCGGAGCCAAAGTGTATCTACCTATGCTTCCATCTTGGCTGGAAGTAAGATAGAATCTTAAAATCAGCAGGGAAAAGCAGTTGTTTACCTACACGGACTTCCTGTAAGACTGTCAGATTATTTTTCAAAAGGAACCTTACAGGCTAGAAGGGATTGGCAAGAAGTATTCCAAGTCATGAAATGCAAGGACCTACAACCTATATTACTCTATTCAGCAAAGCTTTCATTTAGAATGGAAGAGCACATATAGTGCTTCCTAGACAAGGTAAAACTAGAGGAGTTCATTCATCACCACCAAACCGTTATTATGTGAAGTGCTGAAGGGACTTATTTAAGAAAAAGAAGATAAAACTTATTTAAGAAGAAGAAGATTAACATGGCAATAAATATGTAACTATCAACAATTGATTCTAAAAAAACAAACTAAACAGTCAAACAGAACAGATATTATAAATATGGAGAACACTGGGATAGCGGCTGTGTGGGGCATCTGGGGGATGGGGGAAAAGGTGAAGGGATTAAGAATACAAATTGGTAGTTACAGAATAAGCAGGATGTTGTTAAGAATAAGTATAGGAAATGGAGTTGCCAAAGAACTTATATATATGATCCATGGACATGAACAAAGGAGGGGGGATTGCCAGAGGGAGTAGGGGGGTGCTGGGTGGAGGGTGGGGCAAGGGAGGGAAAAGTTGGGACAACTGACATGGCATAATCTATTAAAAAAGTCCAGAGTCACTGTATAGTAATAATTTTCATGTATTGATCTAGACATAGAAGGGATCATAAATATCAAATATAGTCAACTTTCCTCTTGTCATTGTCAGTGATGTTATTTTTTTTTGCATTAAAGGTTATGGTGAATAGTTAATTTTTAATCTTTTACTCAATATCTATTTTGACTCACTGACAAAAGTTAGCTTTTAGCAGTATAGTGTAGTGGTTCAGAATGTGGGCTCCAAAGCTGGATTGCCTGGGTTCAAATCTCAGGTTGGACAAGTTGCATGCCATGTGTGTACCTGCCTCTTCCTCTGTGAAATGGGGAAAATAATAGTCCAACAGGGTTATGTGAGGATTGAATGAGTTAATACTTGTAAAGTGCTTAGATCAATGCCTGGTACATAGTAAGCTCTCAGTGAATATTATCACTGTCTTCTGCTGTTGCCTCCTCCTCTTCTCATTTACAACAGAAAATATTTACAATGATTTTTGGTTTATAGTAAGACCTTAGAATATGTTAACTATGATTGTAATTCTGTTGTTTGATATCTATGGTTTAGTACAGTGTAATTAATAAATAAAAACTTTTTCTTATATTTTCTCCAGAATGCTACAGTGACTTTTTAAATGAAGACTTTGATGTAAAGGCTTATACTTCCCAATCTATTCATCAAGCTGTAATTGCTGAACAACTAGCAAAACTTGCCCAAGGAATCAGTCAGTTGGATAAAGAACTACACCTACAGGTGATTCTAATCTTCTGGATCATACAGATTATTCAGCCTAAAGTGATAATTTATTATTTTTATAGTCCTGCTATTATTTAATCTAAATGCATATTTACATAAACAAATGTATAACTTACAAGTGTGGCTTATTTTTCAAAGTATGCTTTTGAAAAGGTTTCTGTAATGTACTTTTTGTTAGTTGACAAACTAATATACCCATCTGTTGAAAACCTATTTTTCATACTTTGTTTTCACCACCTTAATTGATGTGCAATTGGTGAATATAGGTGGGCAAAGAATAAGATGACTTTGACAAAGATAATAGAAAATGGAATTTTGAAATTGTAAATAAGAAAAATTGTGATGTTCACATTGGCAGTTCACACTTTATAAGCACAAAATATAACAATTGCTGAAATTATGGAAAGTTGATAAATTTGTGGTGGATAGAACACAATAGAGGGAGTTAGGAGATGGGTCCTAATCTCAGCTCTGCTGTTGCCATTTGTACTTTTTGTGCCTTTGAGTCTTGCTTTAAAAAAAAAATCAACGGGGTTAGAGTGAATAAAGAAGAGAGGATTATAGTAGAAAATCTGGAAGGTTCCTTCCTCTACATTTCTATAATTTTTAAAAATTATTTTTAATTTCTTGTCTATATTTTACATTCAGTATTATTCTCTATTAGTTTCAGATGTACAGCAAAGTGGTTAGAAAATCATGTGCTTTACAGAGTGGTCCCCTGTTCTGCTTCAAATAACCACTTGGGCACATACATATTTATCTTGATATCTTGATATTGACCATATTCTCTATGCAGTAATCTACATCTCTGTGTCTATTCTGTTAACTACCAGTTTGTACTGCTTAAAACCCTTGACTTTTTTCACCCAACCCCCCAATCCCCCTCTCTTCTGACAGCTGTCCATCTGACCTCTATATTATGAGTCTGTTTCTGTTTTGTCTATTTTTTCATTAGATTCCTCTTGTAAGTGAGTGACATCATGATATTTGTCTTTCTCTGTCTGGCTTATTTCACTTAGCATAATACCCTCTGTCCATTCATGCTATTGCAGAAATGCACAATTTCCCTGTTTTTCATGGCTATGTAATATTCCATTGTGTAAATATACCACAGCTTTTTTATCCACTGAACTACTTATGAGCACTTGGTTTGTTTCCATATCTTGGCTCTAATAAATAATGCTGCAATGAACATAAGGGTACATATGTTCTTTTTAATTAGTATTTTTGGTTTCTTCAGATATATTCCCAGAATGGAATTGATGGTCATAAGGCTATTCCATTTTTAAGTTTTGAGGAATCTTCACACTGTTTCCATAGTGGTTGTACCTGCCTGCATTCCCACCAACAGTGCACTAGAGTTCTTTTTTCTCTACATCCTTGACAATACTTGCTGTTTGTTTATTTATTGAAGATATCCTTTCTGATAGGTGTGAGGTGGTGTCTCATTGTGGTTTTGGTTTGCATTTCTCTGATTTGTGATGTTGAACAACTTTTCATATGTTTATTGGCCATTTGTATGTCTCCTTGAAGAAGTGTCTATTCAGGTATTCTGCCCACTTTTTAACTGGAATGTTTATCTTTCTGGTGTTAAGTTGTCTCAATCTTTATAAATCTTGGGTATTAACCCTTTATCAGATGTATTATTGGCCAGTATGTTCTTCCATTCAGTAGGTTGTCTTTTCGGTTTGTTGATGGTTTCCTTAGCTGTGAAAAAAGTTTTTAGTTCGATGTAGTCCCATTCATTTATTTTTTCTTTTGTTTCCTTTGCCTGAGGAGATAATATCAGAAAAATATATTGCTGCAAGAAATTTCTGAGATTTAACAGGCTGTGTTTATTTACTTCTAGGATTTTTACGAGTTTGAGTGTTATATTTAAGTCTTTTATCCACTTTGAGTTTATTCTTGTGTATGTTGTAAGAAGGTGGTCTAGTTTCATTTTTTTTGTATGTGTCTGTCCAATTTTCCCAGTGCCATTTATTGAATAAACTGTCTCGACCCTGTTGTGTGTTCTTGTCTGCCTTGTCAAATACTAATTTGACCACAGTGGTGTGGGCTAATTTCTAGGCTTTCTATTTTGTTCCATTAATATGAATGTCTGTTTTTATGCCAGTAGCACACTGTTTTGAATACTATGGCCTTGTAGTGTAGTTTGACACCAGGTATTGTGATACCTCCAACTTTGTTCTTTTTTCTCAAGATTGCTGAGGCTTTGGGGATCTTTTTAAATAATTGTTTCATATAAATCTTTGAAATATTTTAGCTTTGTGAAAACGCTATTGATATTTTGGTAGGAATTGTGTTGAATCTATAGATTGCTTTGCGTAGTGTGGACATTTTAATGATCTTAATTCTTCCTTTTCAAGAACACAGTATATAAGGTCTATCCATAAGGTATCCAGCCATGCAATATGAAAAATAGAGACATTTATTGAAGAAGATACAAAATACAAGAAACATTGTACATAGGACAATAATGCATCAGTCTCCTTTAAAGTAGGCACCTTGGGCCCCAACACAGTTCTACCAGTCACCATCAGCTGCCCCGTCGTATTTTATAGAATGTCATCCATGGTCTGGAATATCTTTCCTTTCAAAGGTGATTTTAGTTTTGGGAAAAGCCAGAAGTTGCAGGGTGTCAAATCTAGGCTATAGTGGGGCTGAGTCACCTAGGTGATTTGATGTTTTGCCAAAAACCTCTGCAGGAGATGTGATACATGAGCAGGCACATTGTTATGATGAAGTTGCTGATCACCAGTTGCCCATAGTTAAGCCATCTGAATCATCCAAATAGTTTCTGCAGTGGAATGTTCAAGCTTAATGCAAAATTTGTGCAGATTCATTGCTCTACTCGCTCGGTCATTTCGAATGCGACAGCCACACAGTACATATGGTCACTCAACTGTGTCTACCACCCCCACTGACTAGTACAGTGAAGTTGTCATTGTTCATGCATGCACATTCCAGTCTACTCTCTGTGGGTGCCAGGTCACATTGATGTTACACAAACTGTTTTTATTATATTAACAATGGCTGAAATTTTATGGATAGAACTCATGTTTTCACTTACTGTATCTTGTTCAGTTTCTTTAGTATCTTATACCTTTCTGAATATAGATCTTTTTCCTCCATAGTTAAATTAATTCCTAGGGACCTTACTTTGTTTTAAAGATTGTATTTATTTATTTTTAAAGATAGGCGAAGGGAAGGAGAAAGAGAGGGAGAGAAATATCAATGTGTGGTTGCCTCTTATGTGCTCTCTACTGGGGACTGGCCCACAACCCAGGCCTGTGCCCTAACTGGAAATCGAACCAGCGACCTTTTGGTTCTTGGGCCTGTGCTCAATCCAGTGAGCTACACCAGTCAGGGCTGGGACCTGATTTTTTTGATGCAATTTTAAATGGGATTCTTTTCTTAGTCAATCTTTCTGATAGGTTATTATTGGTATATAAAAATATAACTGATTTGTGAATATTAATTTTGTATCCTGCTACTTTACTGAAGTCATTGATCAGTTTTTGTAGTTTTTTTGGTAAAATCTTTAGGGATATTGATGTCATCTGCGAACAATGACAATTTTACTCTTCCAATTTTGATGCCTTTTATTTCTTCTTGTGTATTGCTGTGGTTCAGATTTCCAGCACCATAGTGAATAAGAGTGGTGAAAATGGACATCCCGAAGGGAAGCACTTTTGGTTTTTGTTCATTGAATATGGTGTTGGCTGTGGTTTGTCAAATATGGCCTTTATTATGTTGAAGTCTGATCCCTTTATTCCCACTCTGTTCAGAGTGTTTTCATAAATGGGTGCTGGATTTTGTCTAGTGCTTTTTGTGCACTTGTGAATGTGATCATATGATTTTATACTTCATTTTGTTGATGTAGTGTAACATGTTTATTGATTTGCAGATATGATAACAACCTTGCATCCTAGGAATAAGTCCCACTTACTCATTGTATATGATTTTTTTTAATGTAACGCTGGATTTTTTAAAAAGATTTATTTATTTATTTTTAGAGAGGGGAGGGAGGTAGAGAGAGAGAGAGAGAGAAACATGAATGTGTGGTTGCTGGGGGCCGTGGCCTGCAACCCTGGCATGTGCCCTGGCTGGGAATCGAACCTGCGATACTTTGGTTCACAGCCCGAGCTCAATCCACTGAGCTACACCAGCCAGGGCATAATGCTGGATTTGATTTGCTAATATTTTGTTGCATCTGTGTTTATCAAAGATACTAGCCTACAATTTTCTTTCTTTGTAGTATTTTTCTCTGTTTTTGGAATTAGAATACTGTTGGCATTTTGAACAGAGCTTGGGAATCTTCCCTTCTGAATTTTTTGGAATAGTTTGAGAGGTATAGGTATCAATTCTTCTTTGAATGTTTGGTAAAATTCACTGGTGAAGCCATCTTGTCCAGAACTTTTGTTTGCTGGGAGTCTTTTGATTACTGCTTTAATTTTGTTAGTTGTAATGGCCTGTTCAGATTTTCTGCTTCTTGATTCAGTTTTGGAAGACTGTATGTATAGATTTCTAGGAATTTTTTCATGGCTTCCAGGTTGTTCAGTTTGTTGGTATGTAATTGTTCATAATCAATTCTATAATTTTTATCAGGTGGTTTGATGGTATACTTACTAGTGTTGCCTTTTGTCTGAGCAGGCACTTAATAAATATTTAAATGAATGAACAAATTTTTTAATAAATGGATTGTTTACCAGGAACCCCAGAACTGTTCTGTCATGAGACATATTTATGTACATATATATGTCTTATTTTCTTTATCAATTAAAAGAGTAGCTTAGTTAGGACTAGAATAACTTCAAAGCTCACTTTAATATTCTGATTATAGTATAGAGTTCATTGACAAACATTTATAACACACTTTAATTGTCAGGTTGTGGGAATAGGAAAATGAACACATTTTTCTGGCTCCCCAAGGACTCACAGACCAGTGGCAGATACATCAGAAATAATGACAGCCAAGTGATGCCTATTTTAAATAGAATGGTACAAAGTTTTTGTGCAAGCAGGAGAGAATGCACTTAACTCTGCCTAGGGATCGCAGGAGGTAGCTTTTTGCAAGAACCACCTGAAATTCTTTCTTCCCTTTTATGGTGTGTATTTTCCTTATTTCTTGCATGCAATGCCTTTTCTGCAGGAATCAGTAAAAACTTTATATTTTAACGTCTTGTGGATACTTGATATATTAGGGGGAACACTTTGTAAAGTATATGATTGTCTAACTACTATATTGTACACCTAAAGCTAATACAGAATAATGCCAAATGTAAACTGTAATTGAAAAATAAAAAATAAATAAAAAGTAAAAATAGAACTGCAAAAAATATATTTAACATCTCTTACAGGGGACAAATTATACCTGCAGTAGTTTCATGTGTGAGGGGAAAAAAGTCTGAGTCCTAGTATAAGATCTGAACCTGCTACAATTGTTTTCTCCAGGAAAAAATTGGGGTAATCCTAACTATACCATAAATAAATATAATAAATATAACAATATAATTGCAATGATTAAGATTAGAAGAGATGTACTGAGGAATGTTACGGTTTAGTTAGGAAATATAACCTGCTTTGGGTATTTAAAGCAGGAAGATATTTAATGCAGAGTATTGGTTGCTTATGTAATTTTTGGATGACAGCAGGTGGACTGAGTGGAAGGATCTGCCGTAAATGCAGCACAGAGGCCCAGAAGCTCCTGGTGTTGCCTTCCACAGCACAGCTAAAATTGTGCTTCTGAATATCTGATAACTAAACTCTGGAATGACCATCTATCTCAGTTTTTTTAAATCCTCAGGTTTCAGGACCTTGCTTGCTACCTGAAACAGTAACAGGAAGATAGCTTTCCCTTCTCGTTGTCTTCCAGATCTCTTGGAAATTCATTCACTTGGCTACAGGGGTGTCTAGGAAAGTGTAGTTTTAGACTTTTCAACCTTTCCAAAGTATTTATCATAAGGGACAAAGAAGGAATGGAGAATTAAAAGAAAGTTAGTCTTGTTAGAATGGACACATTGGTGACTATATCAGTGCACTGGGGAAAATTCAGACATCTTTTGACAATCTTAAGGGTAAGAGATATAAGAGACCAAAAGTAACACTTATTTTAGATGGACATGATAGAAAGGGACTTGACAGAATAACATGGTTTCTGAAACAGGACTAAGTGGAGGATACAGGAGTTCCAGTGAATGAATCCTTGCTGATTCAGAGCTCCAGCATACAGCTTCGACAGGAAACTTATTTATTGGAATAAAGGGTACAAAATGATCAGGACCTTTGTATTCTAAAGATTTGCATGATTTCTTGATGTTTCTAGGAATCTTTTGCATGTGGCCTTGAACTCTTAACCTGTTTGGTTTTTTAGTATGATCATTCACACAGCTCTAATTTTCACGAAAGTATCAGCCTTTTGTAGGGAAGAGGATTTGCTGTGACTGGGAAACTAGAAGCAGAGAAATATTCAGAGATGTGGGCACTGACTCGGCTTTGTCTTTCCATATTGGAATGTGGTCTTGGTGATGCTGAATTAAGTTCAACAGCTAAGATAATCTGATGTTTGAAAATATTATTTAAAAGGAAAGCATATATAGCATGGCAAGAACTAGTTGGTTTTTATTTTTCAGTTTTGGCATAACTCCATCTGCACATCCCAGTAGGAAAGCAAGGGACTAGTGAGAAGGCTGTAATTTTTGTTGTTGTTGTTGTTGTTTGGCTTTATGTTGAACTATAAGTATGTTTGTGTTCCTGCTAGTAACTCATCTTAAACACACTTTTGTAACCTATATTTTTTTTTTCATGACAGTATTTGTCTCCCTCCTGTATGGAGAGAGATCTTCAGTTCTACCTTATGGTTACAAAGAAAAAATCTTATACTTAGAGCATATGCTGATTATTCATTTTTTTATTTTCAGGTTGTGGCAAGACATGAAGATTTACTGGCACAAGCAACTGGGATTGAATCTTTGGAAGGTATATTTCCATGAACTAGTACAGGTTATGTAGAGTTAGACCAGGGATTGGCAAACTTTCCTGTTAAGGGTCAAATGGTCATTATTTTAGACTTTGTAGGCCATACTGTCTTTGTTGGCAACTACTGAACTGCCACTGCAGAGTGAAAGCAGACAAAATATGTAATTGAATGTGTGTGGCTATGTTCCAACAAATCTTTAATAAACCTTTGCTGACCCCTGGGCTAAATCTGGGTTCAGGTTCTTGTTTGCCACTTACTAGATGTGTGACTTTTAATGTTTCTGTGCCTCAGTTTTATCTATAAAGGAGAGGAGTATTAATATGTACTAACATGGTGTTATTTATAGAATGAAATGAGCTAGCAAAATGCTTAGAACTATTCCTGGTACATATTTAATACTTCTATAACTGTTGGTTAATTAAAAAAACTAAAATATCAACAACACCAGAGTGGGTAGTTGTGGAAGTAAGCTGGAATTTTTCCTTATTTTTGGCTTTCTTTGAAACACTTTTCAATGAAAGTATAGGATAAAAATAAATTGGATTTTTAATTTTATGAATCCTCTTATTTTTGTTTGATGAACTTTTATGAACTTTTTGTTCTCTTTTGACTAACTGTTTCTCATAAATATGAAATGTTAATATTGTGTGTTACTTCTGTTTTGATTATTGTTATTAATCATTGCACGTCAAAGGGAAGCTAAATGATCTTTTTCTGTGTTGATGAAGTTCTTAAGGAGGAAGGATATTGCTTTTTGTGATGCAATATTCTTTAATGCTTCCCCCAGTGTTTCTTATGTACTCAAAGGTATTATTCACAGCATGTACACTCTTTCTAAGACATCTTGATGAATAACTTAGTATTTTCAGAAATAATAGTTTGACTGGTATTTTAATATTTTGAATGTGTATCAGACTATGTTCTTGGAAAAATTAGAGGCTCTAAGTACTGACTTACTACTGGATATTAATTATTTTTTAATCTCTTTTTTCATGTGTTTCTGGAAGTAAGTAAATAACCTGTTTTAACAGTAACTTTTTAAAAACAAATGATAAATTATTTGTGTCATAAGGATGGCATGGTAGAACATTGATTCTGAGTGTGTATCAATGTACATATATACCAATGTATATATGAATCATCACAACAGAAATACTTCGCCTTGTTTTCTTATATGTGTTTAGTTCTATAATGTGCTTGTTTTTCCTAGAATGCTTTTCACTGATTACAATATTTAAAATATTCTGTTGGATTGAGTAAGAGTAGCTATTTGTTGGATGATTGTCTAGAGTACAGAGGCTGGTTTCTCTGAATTCCTATGATAATCTAAGAATATTCTCCAGATTATATGAACATAAAAGGTCAAAGTATGAATTGGTTAGTATTTATCTTAGCATGATTTATATTTCTAACCCCTTTTAGGATATTATTTTGAGATTTTGAAAAGTGTGATATTTATTGGAAAAGGTGTGTTTCCCAACTTCTACTTCATCTGCTTTTTTCTTATGTACTTAAAATTTTGTCGTGTAAGTAGTTTGGAGATATCTTTATCAAGGCTATTTTATTAAAAATTGCATCCTATTTATTTTTTGTTGAGAATTATTAAATTCTCAATATTAATTGAAAATTTGCTCGGTTCCAGGCAGCTGTGATAATAGAGTCCCTGTTTTCATGGAATATTTAATTAGCCCTGTTTTATAAAACGAGATAATTCTCATTCATTCACTTAGTCAAATAGTAATTGGGAACTTGTTAGGTATCAGGCACCTGTGAACAATAGATAAAGTCACTTTTTTCTGTGGAACTTATGTAGTAGATGGGGAAAAAGACCAAAAAATATATAGATAGGAAACTTCAGTTATTTGCAAATTCTACAGAGAAAATAAAATGGATGATGGGGTGGAGGAAGGGTAGTCCTTTACTAGCTCGATGGTCAGGGGAGGCTGTTTTGAGAAGAGGACATTTGAGTTGAGATCTGAATGATGTGGAAGAGCTACCACAGAAAGACCTGAGGAGAAGCTGAGGACCAATAAATAGGAAGGCAATATTAGCTTGGCAAGTTGAGGGGCAGGAAGAAGTATAATATGACTGGAGTTTAGTGAATGAGGGAGAGAATTGTAGATGAGATTCTTGGAAAGAAATTTTGATTTTCTTTCTAAATGCATGGTAAACTGTTGGAGGATTTTATTTAGGGGTTTTATGTGATCAGATTAATGCTCTTTGAAGTTTCATCTGGTGGTTCTATAAGAAGGCAAGAGTAGAATTCTTGGTGCCAATTTAGAAGTTATTAGAGTAGTAGAAGTTGATTAGAATGGTGGATGTAAAGAGATAGACAGAGAAATGGATAGATGAAAGTGGGGGCAGAGCTGATAGGATTTATTGATGGGAAATAAAAAGACCAAGGGAAAAAAGTCACCAGGAGTGATTCCTAAGATTTTAGTCTGGAAAATTGGATAGATGATGATACGAGTAACCATGAGTAACTGAGGTATGTTAGGCTGGAAGAGATTATGATTTTGATGGGCCAGGGTGGAGAAGAAGTTATCTTGGGTGTCTTAAATTTGCAATAAGAGTTCAGGGCTAAAGACTTACATGCATGTGTGTGTACACATAGACAGGCAAAAAAAATCTCCACAGATATATGCGCATGTGTACATAAATGTACGTGTGTATAAAATCAGTATTTTATTGAACAGATGGTATTTAAAACATTGGGACTGAACAAAATCTCAAAGAAAGATTGTATTATAATAGATAGAGAACAGAAGATGGCTGAGGATCATATTTTGGAGTACCCCAGTGTGTAGAGATCTAACAGAAAAGGAGTGGGAACAAATATTGAGGTAGGAGGAAATCCAGGGAAGGTGATGACTTCAAAGCCCAGAGGAAAAAAATGTTTTAGAGAAGGGGGGTTTTAAATGTGTGATGAATTTCTGAGATTTCGAACAAGATAAAGACAGAACTGACAATGGACTTTGGCATCTTTGACAATGGAATTTGGCATTCCTGGTGACCTTGAGAAGATCTGTCTTGATGGAGTATGTATGAAAAGCCTATGGAGATTGCCTTGGGAGAGAGTAAGCTGTATGTCAGTAATGATATCAAATAAGGGCAGTTCATTCTTGGAGGGTTAAGGTTAAAGAGCCATAAAACCAGCAGAAAAACAGGAATCCCTGGGGCCAGAGAAGATTCTGTTGGACAGAGCCATGTGAAAGCATGCCTATTTGTATGCTGATAGGAATGTTTATTAGTTCTATTATTACTTCATCTAATATATGTCAACATTTTATACTTAAATTTATTTAGAATACTCTGTTACAAAACTATAGCTATGCCAGTTATATATAAAAACTGAGTTTTAAAGAATGAAGTTTAAAATAATTAAATCTGTAATATTGGAAAGTCTATTTTATAGGCATATAAATAGTAAAGATGTATCTTTCTGAAAGTATTTTACAATTTTGTAAAAAGTATTTACCATGTTGTATATGTGGAGATTAAAAGCAATAATACCCTTGCATATAATAAACTTAAATACTTATTGACTACTTGCTATGGGAAGTAGTTTGAGGTAGGTCTGGTCATACAATTGTGAAAGAAAAAGACTCCCTAATCACCAGGAATTTATAGGTTAGTAAGAGAGTAAAACATTAAACATATATACAAGTAGATATATAATTACCTAATGTAATTAGTGCCATGAAGGAAATATGTGTTGTTGAAGGAAATAACAAGAGAATATAAATCAGTTGAGTGACCTGGTAGTAATTGTTCATGATAAGTCAAGGCTTGAAGAAAGGGTAATATCCACTTGGAGCCTAGTTGTAGGGTCGAAGTTTGGAGAGACAATACCAGGTAGAGAGTACACCATTTTCAGAGCATGTAGAGTCCTGTAGACCAAGCTGTGGACTTTAGTTCTAACATAGGAGTGAAGGGAAGACTGTGGAAGTGTTTTAGCAGAGGTATGTCATAGTACAATTTGCATTTTTAAAGATTATTGAGGCTTCTTTTTTGTAATTATAGCACAGTACATATCAACATGAAATTTACCATTTTATCCATTTTTAAGTGTATAATTTGGTGGCATTAATTATCGTAGTTTTAGGACTATAAGACACACCTAGGTTTTAGAGGAGGAAAGTAGAAAAAATTTTTGAAGCAAAAAATGTGGTAAAATATTTAATAACTTATGACTCAATCCACCGCTGCCTGCCACCCCCCACCACAGTGAGCCAGGCAAGCTACATTTGGACTATAAGACACACTCTCCTTTCCTCCCAAATTCGGGGGAAAGGTGCATCTTATAGTCTGAAAAATACAGTACATTTACAGTGTTGGACAACCATCACTGTGGAGTTTGAGAAATTTTTCATCACTCCAAATGGAAACCTTATACCCATGAAGCACTCACTCCTCATTTCTTGTCAGACTTCTTTAGTGGACCAGGGATTGGAGGGGGAGACAGAAGCTTTTATAATAGTGTAGGTAAAAGATATTGGTCACTTAGATTAGAATGGTGGCAGAAAAACTTGACATTAAAAATTTTTTTATTCATTTGTAAGAGAGAGGGGAGACAGAGAGAGACAGAAAGAAAGAGAGAGAGAGAGACATTTGTTTGTTGTTTCACTTATTTATGCACTCATTGGTTGTACGTGCCTTGACCCAGGCCATCAAACCTGCAATTTTGGCATATCATGGCAATGCTCCAACCAACTGAGCTATCCAGCCAGGGCCTGAAATTTTCTATATATATGTATATGTATATGTATATGTATATGTATATGTGTGTGTATACATATCTATTTTAATTTAATTTTTACTGAATTTGAGCCATTGTAAATTTGTAAAATAATGTAAGCTGTCATATTTTCCTAGGTGTTCTTCAGATGATGCAGACAAGAATTGGGGCGTTACAGGGAGCTGTTGATAGGTACTGTTGTTCACTTTGTAAATAAATGGAGTGGGAAGATTGTCATCTGTTTATATTTCAAAGATTATTTTATCATCATTCCTCTCTTTATTGTTCTTTTAGGATGAAAACAAAAATTGTTGAGCCGTATAATAAAATAGTAGCCCGTACTGCACAATTAGCAAGACTTCAGGTAGGCTCTCACTTTTCATTTCTTTATATTTTGTCATCTTGTTTTTATAAATGGACAAATTTCAAGTGAATCAATTCTGAGAAAATAAGGGAATATGAGACAAAAGGGGGACATACTATAGGGCTTTAAAATAAGATATAAAGTGAAAAAAATACAAATCAAAACTACCATTCCAGTGAATTATTCTCACTCTTGTTATTGCAGTGTGTAATTATTTACTATTTTAAAAAGGTTTTTAAAAAATTAATTAATTAAATTTTTTTTGGAGAGTGGAAGGGAGGGAGAAAGAGAAGGAGAGAAGCATTGATGTGTGAGAGAAACATTGATGGCTGCCTCCTGCCCAACTGAGACCTGGCCCACAATCCAGGCATGTGCTCTAACCTGGAACCAAACCAGCAATCTTGGTTTGCAAGGCAACGTCAAACCCTCTGAGCCACACCAGTCAGGGCACATTGACTGACTTTTTAGAATTCAAAATTATTTCTTTTAATAAAGAACAGAAAGCAACCTAGCATTTATAAAAGTGGGCGGGGATTGACTGGGGGAGCCAGGGGGGTGGGCAGTGTTAGGGAGAGCAACGGGGAAAAATATGGGACAACCATAATTGAACAACAATAAAAACCCCCACAGATATCTTAAACTTATCTTAATAAAGTGGGGAAAAACATTTTGAGGAATACCAGTTTTCTTATCAGCAGTATATGAAAGTTTCAATTTCTTTATTTCTTGCAAACACTTTAAAAAAATATAGCCATCCTTTGGGATATAAAGTAACATTTCAACATTTTAATTTGAATTTCCCCAATGCCTAATGATATTGAGCATCTTTTATTGTGCCTGTTGATCATTTATATATTTTCTCTGGAGGAATGTCTATTCAAATCTTTTACTAATTTTTAAGGTACATTATTTACCTGCTCCCCTCCTTTCCTCCCTTCCTTTAGTTACTTTCTAGGCTTGGAAGGTATTCCATTGTGTTGTGGCTTCCAATTTAGTTATTGAGAAGCTGTCATTCTGACCTGGTCTTTTGAAGGTGATCTGTAGTTTTCCTCTGGCTTTTAGAATTTTTTCTTCTTTTGAGTCCCTTCAGTTTCAGAATGTGGTTTCATTTCATGTGCAATTTGTCTTTCTTCTTCCATCTGTGAGTTTATCTCTTTTATTATTTCTAAGCCATGATTCTTCAAATATGCATCATTCTGTCTTCTTTGTCTTTAGATTCTGAATAAATATATGCTCAACATTTTCTCTTTATCTTCCTTATTTTACATATTTTTGTCTTTTCATGCTGTTCTCTGTGGTGTTTTTTTCTGATTAGTTTTCCATTTCATTATTTCTTTAGTCAAACTAGTCTATTATTATTTTGCTAAACTTTGGTTATTGTATGTTTTGTTTTTAGAAGTTCTATTTTTATTTTCCTGAACTCCTATATAACCTGTCCTATTTCTTGTTCCCTGACTTTTCTTTCTTTGAATATGTTCTGATGAGGTGTTCTGTTGCCCTACTCTGGTAGGGAAAGCATTCGTAGCCTTGTGGGTATGTTTGTCTTTGTGGTGTTCGCTGGTTCTGTCTAACAGAGTCCAGTTTCCCTGGGAGCCTGGTTATCTTTTGCTATGTCCTACACATTTTATTTGAAAAGCTATTTTTTAGAATATTTGAATCCTTCTGAGAGGATTTGATTTGTTTATTTGTGGCATTAAAAATCATTACCAGTCCAAGGACAGCATTAAATATGATTTAATCAACTTTAACTCTCTTGCTTCATTTTGCCTCAGAGGCTATCAAAATGTGGGCTCTAGTTTTCCAGGGTTAGCAGGTGTGCTCAGTTTACAAGTAGATTTGCTTTTTAGTTTTCAGTGATAAGGTAATAACCTACTCTACTATTACAGAAAATAGGAAACTTACATGTCTCATCTCTTTTATAAAACAAACATAAGATATTTTATTCTCCTGATACAATTATTAGTAGTTCCTTAACAAGAAAGAGAACAAAATCTCAAGTTACTAATATGGCGCATATGCTGCTTCATTACGTGACCTCTTCTTGCTTTTATCAAATTTACCTTTTGTCATTTAAAAAAACTTAATTCTGGGCAAAATCATATTGAACTACTTACTAGTCCTTAATGTGCTAGAACTTCTCACATTCATTCCTTTCCACATTTTCTTTTTTCTTTAACTCAGAATGTTCTCAGAATGCCACTCATCATATTCTAAGTGATATGTCATCTCTCTTGTGATATTCTTTCCTGCCCTTTCTTCTGGCACAGCAGAGTGTGTCTTTTTTCATTTTGTGGTTTCTTTAATTTCTTATACTTATATTATAGTACTTTCTACATAGCTTTCCCCTTATTCATACTCTCCCATAATACTGAGCTCCTTGAGGACTATGATAGTATATGTTAATATTTGAATCTCTAGCCTAATATAGTGTTATTATGTATCAGGCATTTAAACTTTATTAAATGTTTAAGGAATGAATAAAATGATTTGTTCCTTGTTCTGTGCCCCAGTTATACAATTTTTTCTAAAATGTAACATGTGACTGAATAAAACATACATGGTATTAAAAAATCTTTTTAATAATGTACTTGTACATGTCTCCTATAAAAACTTGGGTAATATAATTTTTGAGAAGTTTAGATGTCTTAGTGTTTTTGAAATGAGAAGAGATACTTTCAGTTTATTTCAGGGATAACCACTTAAGAGTACATGGTATAAGCCCTAGCTGGGTAGCTCAGTTGGTTAGAGCATTATCTTGATCCTCCAAGGTTGTGGGTTCGATTCCCAATTAGAGCACTTAAAAGAATCAACCAATGAATGCATAAATGAGTGGACCAACAAATCATTGTTTTTCACTCTCTCTCCCTTCCTCTCTCTCTAAAATAAATTGAAAAGAAGAATACATGGGGCAGTGAGGATGCACAGGAACCTGTCTTAATATCCAAAGAGGTGTCTTGGACTGGTGGAACATCACCCTGCCAACAATAGCACCTTAACCTTTCCTATACCTTAGTTCCTGCATTTTTGCATTTCTTTTTGTCCACAGCTTTTCCTGCTGCCACTATGAATTTTCCCTCATTCTCTGTTTCACTTGCTCATTGTTTTCTCACTCTTTGCTTCTGTCTCAAGACATCTGATTATTGCCACCTCAGCTTCTGCCCTTGCCTGTATACCACTTCTCTAAACAGAGTAGTGATTGTCAGTAACAATTTTGGGCAGTTCTTGTGCAAGATGGTATCATAGGCCACTGGTGACAGACTTTGTATGGCTTCCTTTCAGCTAGCCTCCTTTCCCTGATCTAACCAATGTGACTGAGGTCTCAAGGTCATATGACCTAAAATGTGGGGAACCATACACAAGGACTTGCCCAAGCTACTTTCCTGAAGAAGAGGTGTGGTCACTGCAAGTGCCTAGAGCATTTTAAAATTCTCTCCAGGAAGCTAAGGTTTACTTTAATGTTAAAAATACACATTAAAACAATACTGCCCAAACTTAAATTTGGATTTAAATATTGCTTTTTAGGATAACTTTATTATAGGATTAAGTTTACTGGAATTCTTTCTTTTGTGAAATCCTAGACTAATAAAAAGTAAACAAATGGGATTACATCAAACTAAAAAGGTTTTCCACAACAAAGGAGACCATCAACAAAATTAAAGACCACCCACTGAATGGGAGAACATATTCACTGATACATCTTATAAGGAGTTAATATCCAAAATTTACAAAGAACTTACAAAACTCAACACCAAGAACACAAAGTCTAATTAAAAAGTGGGTAAAGAACCTGAATAGACACTTCTCCAGAGAGGACATACAAATGGCCAATAGACATATGAAAAGATACTAATGTCACTAATCATCAGAGAAATGCAAATTAAAACCACAATGAGATGTCATCTCATAGCTGTCAGAATGGCCATCATCAATAAATCAGGGAACAACAAGTGCTGGTGAGGATGTGGAGAAAAGGGAGCCCACCACGCACTGTTGGTGGGAATGCAGATTGGTGCAGCCACTGTGGAAAGCAGTATGGAGTTCCTCAAAAACTTAAAAATGAAACTGTCTTATAACCCAGCATTTCCACTTCTGGGAATTTATCCAAAGAAACCCAAAACACTAATTTGAAAGAATATATGCTGGGTTCATTGTGGTGTTATTTACAATAGCCAAGATTTGAAAGCCACCCAAATGTCCGTCAGTTAGATGAGTTGATGAAATAGCTTAGGTACATTTATGCAATGGAATACTACTTGGCAGTAAAAAAGAAGAAAATTTTAGTGTTTGTGACAGTATGGATGGACCTGGAGAATATTATGCTAAGTGAAATAAGCCAGTCAGAGAAAGACAAATACCATATCATTTCACTCATGTGGAATCTAGTGAAACTGAACTAACAAGAAAAATTGAAACAGTTGTAGTTAGAGAGCAGGTCTGCAGTTCTGGGGAGAGTTGGGAATGGAGGGATTGAGCAAAAGAGAAGAGAAGGGAAAAAACTCATGGACATTGACAAGAGTGTGGTAATTGTGGGGGCTAGCAGGAAGGAGGTTGGGTGGAAGAGGATATGGGGGGATAAATAGAGATGGAAAAAATAAAAAATTAAATTAAAAACATTAAAATATAGACTAACATGTAAGGCTGGTATTGTTAAAAAAAAACTGATTATGTCTATGTTTACAGACTTGCCCTTAACAAAATAAAATTTTATAAAATTCTATTCTGATATTTTGGGCATAGATGGAAATTGACTTTTAGGTTAGTAAACTTTAAAATATGTTTATGTATGAAGAGTATGGGAGTGTTAGTCCTTATGTGCATCACAGAATATTGTTTTGGTTATAGATTATTATTTAATTTTAGGAAATGAATTAATATTTAATTTCAGATCACTTCTCTGCTTTCAACTCTGGATCTTAAACATGTCAGAATCATTCATTTCTTCTTTACTCCTTTGTTCAATACAGTCTTTTTGACAGTAAGTTTTAGGAATCTACTTATTT